TTCCGTTCTCTCTCTCTCTCTCTCTCTCTCTCTCTCTGTCTCTCTCTCTCTCTCTCTCGCGTTGTAACGAGATCTTACTCCCTTACTCATTTATCAATATAAATTAACTTCGATCTCGATTCAATTTATAATTTTATTTTTTTTAATCCATAGAATTATATAAAAATAAAAAGTGAATTTAACCGAGAAAATTAAAATTAATCCATATTGATAGAAATAAGGATCTCTCACTGTTTCCGCCGTGTATTTCAGGTCTATCGTCGGCCCTGAAATACACGTCTACATTCATACAAATTGTGACGTAGCGGCGAGGCGTAGCGAAAAAAAAGAATGCTGGTTAGCGAGCGGAATACAGTGTGAGATCGGAGCCCAATGGATAAAGAGCTATCACACCGACAAGTTTCTCTTATCGCTTTCCCTCGAAATCTCTAAGCTTCGCTGATAATACTTCCGACCGGAAGTATTCGCGATCTCGCGCCGAATCGCTACCAATCGGATAGTCCTTGTGATAGCAGTAAGTGTGAAATTTCATTTATTTTAAAGAAACGTTACTCTCACGTAATGTTGCTCGATTATGTTGGATTTTCGTGCGCACGCTGTATCTCATTTCCGAAAAAGAAAAAGAACCCACCTTTGAGAAATAAACATTCAAGCTGTACTCTTCTCCGTTTGCTTTATTTACGCGCTCAATAATAAAATAAAATGTGCAAAAACTGTTTGAAACTTGTCGATATTTTAATATAATAATTTAGTATAATAATAAGTAGATTATATGTATTATAGCTTTATAACTATAAAAATTTGTAAAAATACGATTGTAATTGCAAGAACGTAATAAGTATTGCATTGTTAATTTGATAAAAAAAAAAACTTTATTCAATTAAAATTGATACGTCAAGCCATTCTTTATAATGAATTTTATGAAAAAGGAAGAATGAACTCTTTGAAAATTATCTAGAAAAAAAAAGTTTCAGCTTGAAAATAATAAAATGATAAAGATATATAAAAATATGTTACTAAATAAATGTAAATTTAAAAATGTCTGTGATGCAGTCAAAAATTAAAATAAGCCAGCAATTCGATTTCGAGATCGAGTATTTTTTGATACAATGCGAATAAGTCTCAACAATTGAAAAAGGAAAATTGATTTGTACCTATAACAATTAGTTTTTCTTTTTTTTTGCATGCAGATGAGTTTCAATCCCTTGAGATGGAAAACGAGAACGATTTTGCACAGTATTCTAGGCGTATTGCTTCTTTACACGCTATTTGTTTATAAGAAGAAACATCAAGTGATGTTCGAAGGCACCATAAATAACTCGGATCCCAAACTCGTGTGGGAATTCGTAGCTGATTTTAGCAACATGAAAAAACTGAATCCAACGATGTAAGTAATTAGAATTAAATTAGAAAAGAAACAAAAACTTGAAGATGACAATAGAAATGATCAATTTCATTATTGTTATTGTTATTAATAAAAAGAAAAAAGAAAGAAGGAGCAATAAAGGAGAGGGGGAGGGAGAGAGAGAGAGAGAGAGAGAGAGAGAGAGAGAGAGAGAGAGAGAGAGAGAGAGAGAAAACACCCTGACTGGATTTTATAAAATGTACATATACACGTATACATACATTTATCTATAGCCTATATCATGGTGTATACTATAAAAAATGCGCTTTGCGGAACCCAGCCACTATTTTGATCTCTTCGAAATAGAAAGAAATAATAAAGCAGAACAGATCATTTTAATTTCGAAAACGTGAAATCACACATGTTGCGTAGTTTCTGGAATTTTATTCCTTCGATTAATCCGTCTTAAATTCATGTCGCAGTGAGGATTTTAGCGTGATCGACGAAGGCGGGAATTACGATCACTGGAAATACTCGGTGCGATACACGGAGCATTTAAGTCATCTGCCGATGATCCGTAATGTAGCGCACGGGCACTATGCCGTCAAGCCGGATGACAATGGCTACGTCATCAGTTCCAGACATTTGACTTGCTTCTTCTCCAATTTCGGTTGTTGTAAGTGGATACCGCTAGCGATCTATCTCGTACAAATCGATAACGCAGTCAATTTGACTTTGTCTTCATATAAGATAATAGTTAGCAGTTAATCGCAAACCTGATTATTTTAAACATTTTTAGAAACGTTCAAAAAAGGAAAAAGAAATACATGAAACAAATTTTATAATTTATTGGAAAAGTATTTAATGCAAATAATACACTTCTAATGTGATAAATTTCTAAATTTTTTTTTGCAGTTTGAGCAATAAACTATTAGAAATAAATAGTATTTTTTCGCAAATAACATTAAAAAAGGATCGATCTAAAAATGTTTCAAAAAAAAAAAATAATTACAACGTTCGAAGTAACGATGAGAGTAATAGTGTTTTCGATTGCAGTGGATTTTGATCCAATTTGATGCCGTCACTTTCTGCACTCGTTTTTATTTCTATTTTCTTTTTTCTAACGCTCACATCCTATGTGCATCTTACTTTAAGTGCAGGAAGTGCATTGTAACAGTATAACCCGAATTAAAACCCATTACAATCGAAAACTCTATAAGTATTTTATAAGTATATTGGAATTTATTTGCATAGTTTCGAATTCTCTATGATTACTCCAAAAAATAAAAGCAGTACTTTTTTAGTAGATTTGAATCAAATGAATTTTCATAAATACTTTATTAGAAATTTTATATCCCTTCAATTCGAATTGCACTGTTATAATATATATTTAATATATTTAATAATTATAAATATTTTAACGATTATCAATCGTTAAAATTAAATATAATAAAAATTTAATTAAAAGTGTAAACTAAAAATTACTTACAAGCTTTACATTTTACATTTTTTAAATTCTAACAATTTTATTTTTCAAGTTCGAGTACTACTCGAGTACTACTAAAAGATTCGATTTTTTACAATAGAAATTATTTCGAATTCTGTGCAGGTATTCATTTTGTAAAATTCAAGATTAACTAGACCGATTCGATTTCGCAAATACAACGTATGAAATATTATTTTTTACAAATTTCAATCGAAAATGAAACTTGATTTTTAGAATTGATTTGGAGTTTGAAGTCCCGCTTACCGAGATTGCCTATTAATACTATCGATTGTTTGAACATATTCTCGGCTTACTGCAATGAATTGTTTACACAATTCGATTCCGACTTAGCTCCGTAGACTTTTCTCTTCACATTGAAACGAATATCAATCGGACTGTTTTCTTTTCAGTGGAGTCTATTTCGCAATTCAGATTCGATGCGGATGGTATGAAGGACACAAAATGTATCGAAACCGTGCAATACGAATGCCCGATCGCATTTTCGCCGCTGTGTCGCAGAGAAGTCATGTATCAACGACAAGAAATTCTGAAGAGGCTGAAATTGGAGTTTGCTGTCACTAACAGGAAGGAAAATTAAAAACATTACTGCGCACGAAATGTTATGCATGTTACTTACAGTTTATGGAATTCTCTTTTTTTAATAAAATAATGCGTTATTTTTAATTGTATAATATGGAATTTTATATAATTAATAATTTTATAGTTTAAGTCAGTAAAAATTTCGATGCTGTGTGGGGACAGAATCACGTATCCATTGCGAAGATACTAAAAAATTATATTCGGAGATTTATATAAATTAAAGATTAAAGTGTTATTATTATAAAAATATATTTTGAAATAATATTTATTACATATTATTTTTACATAAATGTTTATGTATAATTTGTAGAAGATGAACAAAATGAAAAACAAAATAATAATGTTCAGTTTTAAATTTTGCAATTGACAATTTTTAAATTTAATCGGGTAATAAAAATTTAATTAGGTAATAAGGACTAACTGAATTAGCTGCATAAAGTGCATATACGTATGTATTTTTTTGTACATAATACATGATACATAGCATATGTTATAGATAAATATGCATTTTATGCTAAAATTAGTCAGACGTAATGAGATCGACTCCTCACAAAATTACAAATAAATTCCTGTTTAGAATTTTAATGCAAATCAAGATTGTCTGAAATGGACTTTATTTTTACGGCATGGTGTACGGACACCTAGACGGATACCTTTTCTCGAGTGCAATTCGTTGTTTGTAGCAATAATCCATTACCAACGTCTAAGCGTGAAATCTCCGGTGACGAGCGACGTGTAAAAAAAAATAGAAGAAAGGTAGAGAGAGAGAGAGAAAGATAGATACGCATACAAAGGAAGAGAATATGGTAGCGAAAGGATCAACAGTTTATCGAAAACATTGCGGAACGTGAGGGCTCAGTGTGCGAGTGAGGAAGAGAAACCCCGTGCGTTCGACGAGATTTTTATACTCCCATTTGCGATTGAAGCGCGAAACACATCCATCTTATTCGCACGTGTATTTTGTCCCGACGACCGAGAGCATGTCCAACAAATTCGACACGTAAGTGTGGAGCGTCCTCGATTCTCGGTTCTCGCAAGCAGTTGCGCTCCTGCGAGTGAGGTTAGGTCGCACGCCAGCGTTTGGCTACGCGACGCAGCCGGGGGGGGGGTCGTGAATGAATGTCCCCATCTGTCACGTCGCAGGAACATCCCCAGTCGAGTAGAAGATCTCAATTGTTGATCCTTAGGCGCGTAACGTAGTGTCATTCGTAGTGTCAGTTGGAATTTACGCGCGAGTGACTGAAGTCGCGTCTTCCATATGATCACCACGTTTTGACAACTGGCACGAATGTTCAAGAGCGCTATGAACATCCTTAATTTTGTGCTCCGAACATATGGAGCTGTGAAATGCGATCCCTGACGATCGAGTTCTCCGCTCGACATTTGAGGAAACTTGGACTCTCTAAGTTATGCATCTTACAGAAGGAACAAAAAGTTATTTTCAACCAAGAAAAGAATGTCTTGGTATTCCTTAATTGTGTACTGAAGCATGGGTTTCCATATACTGAGATTTAATTTTCTATTCCGAATTCCTTATTCTTTATTTTTTATTTCTTTCATGTTTTAAGTTCTTATTTTCAACCAATGAATATGGTTTCCTATATCGAAATTTAATTTTCTTTATAATTTCTTTCATAGCCATATAGCATACTTTCCAAGAAATATCTTGGAAATGTTCTGAATATCCTTACTGGGATGTGCTTTTATTTATAGAATGTCTTCTGGGTATCTTTAGAATCATCCTTTGAACGTCTATGTTGAATGGTTATTTCTACCAGTGTAAATTAATTTTAATTTCGATTTTATTTATTTTTTAATTTTTTCTAATTTTAGAATTGGGAAAAGACAAGTAAGTTAATCAAAATCAAAGTTAATTTATGTTGATAGAAATGGATTAATCTAATCAATTTATTGTCAGTGATTTGTTAACACGAATAGAATTATTAATTAAATTGATTCTGACGAAAAGATTAGATTAGAGATGATGAATTATATAATGGAAAGTTTTTTCCAAATAATTTTACCGATTGAACTGATTGGGGTTTGATCAAAGTCGTTCTGATGTTCATTTTTATCAATATAAATTAATTTTAATCTCTAGTTTAATTTACTAATTCTTAGAATTAAAAAATATACAAATTAACTGAGATTAGTTAATTAATATTGATAGAAATGAGTATTGTTAGTGTATAATTAATATTTAATATGAAGTTAGATATTTGTTTAATGTATGATTTATGACAGGACTTACAGATTGAAAGCTACAGAGGATAGTGGAGATGAAGAGTCTCAGTCAAAGGATAATCAAAAAATAGAGAAGAGTTCATTAGTGAGTAGAACAGAGACCTCTATCATCAATGATTAAATTTCATTGATTGATATGAAATTTGTGATATTAATTTACAGCCTCCAATAGAGATAAGTCCAAACGAACACAAATTACAATACGCTTATGCGCTATGGTACAGCCGGCGTAGTCCTGGCAAACAGACAAGCATACAGAGTTACGATCAGAATTTAAAACTGGTCGGTAGGTTCGCAAGCGTAGAACAATTCTGGGGTCTTTACAGTCATTTAGTACGACCATCAGATCTCACAACACATACAGACTTCCATCTTTTCAAAGTTGGTATAAAGCCCATGTGGGAGGTGTGCACAATTCTGTTTTGTTTACATATTCAAATATATACATATTATATATTAGACTTATCTATTTCATTAATTTTTTTATTATCTATTTCATTTTTCTCATAGGACGAAGCAAATCAAAAAGGTGGCAAATGGATAGTGAGATTACGAAAGGGTTTAGTATCTAGATGTTGGGAAAATCTTATATTGGCAATTTTAGGTGAGCAATTTATGGTAGGAGAAGAAATATGTGGCGCTGTTGTATCTATACGATTTCAGGTGGGCAAGACTTCGATACTTTTGTCCTCATGCTAGATACAAAAAGTTTTTATTAAATTTGTTACTTTAATAGGAGGACATAATATGTGTGTGGAACAAGACAGCATCGGATGTAGCGACGACAGCGAGAATTAGAGATACTTTAAGAAGAGTATTACATCTTCCAGCTAGTGCCTCCATGGAATATAAAACCCACAATGAGAGTTTAAAAAACGTACATCGACTTTAAAATTGTATAATTTTGAGAACAAGACATATTACGACATTTAACAGGCATTGTCAGACTTACAGGTAATGTAAACACAGTTTGAAATCATTTCAAGTTAAAGAGAAATCTGTTTCTCCCTCTGATTTAATCAAATTATATTTTTTGAAAATACAATCGATTCCTACTTTCCAGGAGATTACACATCTGACGGAAAGTATTTCGTACTTCCCAAGAGATTATACATCTGACGAAAAAAGTTGGAAAATATCCATTCGATGATACTTTATTCACAAGTGTCTGTGTTGTAACTTATGTAAATAATGAATATATATTGATAATAAATAAAAATATCCTTATTTCCAATATGTTTAATATGAGAAAAGAATTTGTGATTATTTTATTCTGTAAGTCTAATATTCTATTTCTGTTCAATTCTGCGAAAACACAAGATTTTCTAAATATTGTTTCTTTTAAAGTTAATTTTATATTTTATGCAATATGCATGAAATCAAAAGATACAAATTTGTTTTATTTCTTGATCTCAAGTATCTTATGTAAATAAGCTTAATGAGATTGTTTTTATTACAATTTTTATTTATTACGGATTAATTTCATTGTTATGCAATAGTTTGACTTGTATACAAGTTGTGAGAGAAAATAGAGAATTGCATATTGTTGCAGATGTTTTTAATTATTACAATCCAATCCACTTTTATATACAGGAAGACTTATCTAGCTGTACATGAGATCATGGCAATCAGAATATATAAAATGTGTCATTATACAAACGGTGAAATATATCACTAAAATTTTGTATATACAATATAAAGATGCAAAATTAGATACGCTAAACGAAGCGAACATGACAGCATGTATATATTAAGTTATTACATAATATATTAACTATACATTATGTTATAGTTATGTTATTTATAAAGAACATTGTGTTATAAAGAACATATACAATTTATCTTCAATATTTGTACAGAAATATGTAGTTTAAATAATAAAATTACATTATTTTTCCAGTAGGCCCTGGAAATGTCAGTTCACGAACCAAAATATTTCTTATCATTTCAAGACTGCCCCGCTCCAAAATAGGACTATTATGATATATAAATAATTATATTATGAATTTGATAAGCATTTATGTAACAAATACAGATATATTTATGACATATAATTATAATACGTATTTATAAAATTATAATATAATTATTTAAAAAAAGTAAATATCAATATTCAATTGATACAATATTAAAGTTCCATTATAGACTAGAATTGAATATACTTCATAAGAAAGGAGGCCCAAGTCTTATATTAATTGCGCTTTTATCTTATGTTATCCTATCCTGTTATCCTATAAAGTTATCTTTCGTATAAAAAATCAATTATAGCCCTAAAACGATATTTGCCACCATACCTACAAAATAAAAATATTGTAATAATACGTGCTTATATATATATATATATATATATATATATATATATATATATATATATGCTTATATAGAACATACCATAATTGATGGTACAATTGGATCAAGATTGATTCTACATGAAAAAATAAATTGAAAATATAGAATATGATCAATGAGGTTTCACTTTTGAGAAAGAATATCTTTGAATATTCATCTGCTACACAAGTACTTACTTATGTCTATTTGCTAGACGATATATCAACAAAATTCTTCTTTGTCGCTTTCCGTTTATTATCTAATGTATTTGATTATCACGTCGATTATAAGATACAAAAGAATCAAATTCTGTGAACATCCGTTTTGCTTGTAAAATAATTTTACTTGAAAAATATTGACTTGATTAGGATATCGGATTCGATAAACAGCTGCTTTAATAATATTACTATAATATGTACTCAACACAAGGATCATAGCTGTATACTCTTGATTGATGTATATCGATAAATAAGAACGACAGAACAAAACAAACTAGCAGAAACTGATATAAAATCTTGTTTCCGGCGATGTTTATAAATTCAAATGTATATAAAGACAGAGCACACAGCAAGGTCAACTGAAGCCAAAGTGTAGTTAAGTGTTCGCATATCAGAATATTCAAAGTTGTTTTTCAATAACAAAGTATTATACGATTCTATATTGTAAAAGGTTCTATATATTTTTAATTTATTTTTCACACAAAATCAGGCCTGTCTTTCTCCTTCGGTTGTACTATCAATTATGAAATGTCCTGTGTGTAATCGCTTACATACCTGATGCTTACCTAGTACAAATGAGAATATTAATTTAAAATTCACAGAGAGATGAAGATAATCGGGCAACCTATGATTTTTTTCGCCTTCAGTGGGTAAAAGCAATCCAATTATGCATACAATTCCTGTGATAAGTGCTACGTAATTTGTACCTCCTAGAATTTTGATTTATAGTTATAGTAATAGATTAAAATATTCTTCGCCATAATTGTTTTACTACTATACTTTAAACATCGCATTTGTAAATCATTGCAATAAGGAAATACAAAATTAATTTACTTTTTTATTATAGTATGTTTCACTTTTTTCTTTATATAAAGCAGATTTCATGATTGATTCAAAAAGACTAAATTTAAAACAGTCCTTTAAATATTTACTTACTATCTATCGTTTTATTTCGGCTTATAAGCGCATAAGATTCTTGTTGCCTATTTTCATTTATCGGAAGTTGTTGAAACACATCTGGATCTGGCGTTGCTCTTCCAGCTGTATCCATCACTCCAGCGAGAAGTTTGGCTTCTACGTCTCTCTTACCAATTACCTAACGAAATTTGTAAAGTTTAAATTTTCCCAACAAAAGCAACGCATTTCTTGTAACGCCGTTATCATTACAATTACATCTTTTTTAATAATGGATTACCGATGGCGTTACTTTTTTTCTTTTGTAACTGTAATGATAACATAATTACATTTTTTCAGCAAAGATAATAAATTTAATAATTACTTTTTTATATTATTGTTGTCTAAGATTTATAATTTTAATGTGAAATTGATATATTCTAGAAAAGTAATAGGCATAATCATCGATAAATTGATATTTTATAAATTGATATGCCTATTACTTTTTTATTTTTTTATTGCAACTTTTCATAGTATAATGCTCAATCTCAGAAGCGAGACAAATCTAAGATCTTTAGAAATTTTTAACATATATAATTTTTTGCGCTCAGTTTATTATTTAAAGGAATATTATTATTATTATTACTGTGAAATACTATTCTCAATATATAATTCTAAAAAATATATAAATATATAATATATTTACACTGAGAAAAATATCTTGTTGAAAATGGACAAATCAGAAGATTTAAGAAACAG